AAACCCTGGCATTTGAAGCACGCAAGTCTTAAAGCTGTCAAGTTACAAGACCCTTGCACCCCTAATCCTTTAGGGAAAAAACCCCAGGAATGTTCAAACCTGACAGCTTTAGTACTTTAAGGTTTAGATAAGACTCTTAGAGGCGGGCAGGGCGATTGGTGAGCCAGCCAATCAGTGAGCGGCAGGCAGGGCAAGCATGGAGCGGATGGGCAGGGGGAGGGAGCTGGAAACGGTTCTAAACGGCACGGTAGATTTGTGGAACCTCTTCTATAAAAGAGATTAGAACTGGCAGGAACACACCCCTGGTTGTAACCAAGTTGATTACGAAAACGGCTCTGTTTTTGTGCCACTTAGCAATGCGGTTTGTTTATGGAGCTAGGTGTGCATGGCAGAGCAGAGAGAGAACACTGTGGCTTTCTTCAATCTATACTTTAAGGTTGGAAATCCTGGAAAATCTCAAGCCAATAACCAGGAAAAGGGAACTGTTATTTAGGTGTACAATATGCAGCTAAATGACTCGTCAGCATTACACCAAAAATATTCTTTGTTTTCTTTCTATAAGGTTAATTCCTTGTCTCGAATCATTATTGTCTCTACACAAGTTTGGCCTTGTATGCTTTTGATATACGTCCACACCAGTGGTGAAATTCAAGTTTTTTTACTACTGGTTCTGTGGCTTGATGGGTGTGGTTTGGTGGTCATGGCAGGGTAAGGATACTGCAAAATCTCCATTCCCACCCCACTCTGGGGCTAGCCAGAGGTGACATTTGCTGGTTCTCCAAACTACCATATTTTCGGAGTATAAGACGCACCTTTTTCCCTCAAACAAGAGGGTAAATCTGGGTATGTCTTATACCCTAAATACAGCATTTTTTGCCTCCTGAAACACTGCCCATTTGCAAAAATGGCCATGCATACCCTTTAGGGGGCTTATAGAGTGGTCCTGGGGCTGGGGAGGACAAAAATGAGTGAAAAACGGGCCTTTTTTTGCTTGTTTTTGGCCCCTAGGAGCACTCTATAAGCCTCCTAAAGGCTATGCATGCCCATTTTTTTGACAAAAAAAGGACCCTTCACGAAAAATGGGCCGTTTTGGGAAAGTCTGCAGAGGGCAAAAACTATTTTTTTTAATTTGCCTCTTCAAAATCTTGGTGTGTCTTCTACTCTGAAAAATATGGTACTCAAAATTCCCGCTACCGGTTCTCCAGAACATGTCATAACCTGCTGGATTTCACCCCTGGTCCACATCTTTTTTGCATCAGAGTTGCTTCTGTATTATTGGCTGATTGATACCATCTTGTGATCTGCCCAGAATCATATACCTTTTATGTATTTTTCTCTGAGAAATTCCTCTAAGACGGTAGTTGTTTTATCACTATAATCTTTCTATATACTCCATTATTTATTATTTATTTATTATTTATTAGAAAATTTATATTGCTGCCTAATCACAGGTGGCGACTCAAGGTGGCTTACAGGGGTATAAAAACATCATCTATAAAAAAATAAAACTAATAAAAGAAAATGACACTGATTTTTTGGTACTATCTAAAGTTCTAGTGAAAGTCTTAAGACAGCAAATACCAACGTTTCTTCAATAAGGCCTGTTTTCTTGGGAAAGAACAGGTACTTCACAGCTGGTACCTGCTATTATCAGAAGACAGTAGGTCTCCAATTCTAATACTGTCCACAGTCTTCATTCAAAATGTAAGGCTAGATTATTTTTATACGAGCGTATTATTAATGTGCTTTATGTCTTTTTTTCTTTCAACAGATTGATGCGTCCTTTCAGCCTGAGTGTATCTTAGAAAGAATTTGTAACTGCCACCGCACAAATTTGCCTAGAATTTGTACTGTGTCGCATTTCCATGGGGACCGTACAAGATCCACTGAGATCTACTAAGCTTTCATTGGTCACAGCTGAAGAATCTCCTAAACACCTGTGCAAGCAAGCGAGCATAGAAAGCAGCAGTAATGGATATCCTTTTACTGCCAAGGACCAGCTGTCTGGAGGATGCTTGTTGGAAGTGAACTCTGGCAGAGAAACCAACGTTCCAAAGAGTGACTGGCATTGTGAATATGACATTAAGCATCCAAACATACTTTCTCCTGGGTCCTTCAGCTTTTCCAAAGAAGGCAGCATGGCAGCTCCAGAACCAGTAAGCTACGCTAAGCAGGAGGGCTCCAGAGCCAAGGTCCAAATGTCAGTACCTGAAGCCCACCCCTCAGAGCATGGTGAAGTTAAAGTGCCTCTTACCCAAGAGGCTAACCAAAATATTCCAAGCAGTGGCGGACAATCATGTAATATAATTGATAAAGCAACCGTACTTCCTGGAGGAGACCTTGATATTACGGAGAGCAAATCCAAGGATTATTCCATTGTTCCTTCCCTTCCTATTTATTCTAATATCCAGCAAGCATCTCCTGTGGGGAAGGACAATATGTGCGAAGTTATCATCTCTGAAACCAGTCCAGTCTTGGTTTCGTCTGATGAGATGGGTCTCAATCCAAAAGCTCCTGTTGGTGTGGAAACAGAATTGGGGAATACAAATGATGCAAATGTCTGTCCTAAGACTGAGCCACAGACTGCATCCGAATTTAGCAACCTGGAGACGTCGTGTACGGGCAGTGAGGAGCCTACAGCAAAAGTGGTACCAAACCTGTCCAAATTCAAAGACACAGGTACAATGACTGTAAAGCCCGAGAACAAATCTGTAGAGGCAGAGACGATAAGCAGGACTCATCAAGACGCTGGGGTTCAAGCTGTAGCCAGTGTGGAAAGCAGGTCAGCTTCTACCAGCCCAAGTATCTTGACGGCATTCTTGAGGGAGAACATGTCTCCTGAGGCGAAACAAGACCAAGATCAGTTGCACGTGATTTACACGGGAGCCAGAGGGAAAGAGCAACCTGAAATCATTGGGGACTTTGCAGCCACTGTCCAAACACCTTCCCCCATTGGCATCATGCACAAGGTACGTGTTCAAATACCACCTGCAAGAGAAAACCCTCTGGGAAGTCCTAATGTCAGACTTCAGGAGAATCTCACAAACACGCACGATCCGATCTGCGCAGCTTTGTTGGATAAGGCAGCCAGGGTGTGTTCATCTGATGATTCTCAGGAAACTTTGGCCAAGAGGACAGAGGTGCAAACGACGGGCGTGGCTAAAAATCGCGGCGACGTTCCGCAGCAGCTGTCAGACAATTCGGTTTTGCAGAAGGCAAGACCCGTTTCCCAAATCAGTCTGAGTTCTAGTCATCCACCCGTGTCTACCCAGCACCCTGCAAACTTTGAAACCAAACTACCTCCATCTTTTGCAACCCCAACCATCGATAGTAGATATCAACCCGCTGATCCCTCTTCGTTCCGAGAACATCCTCTTCCTTTGTGTCCCAGGACATCTGAACAAGCCAAGGCTATAGTTATCGGTATGAATACTGAAAGGACCTATCAGGAGAAACAGCTGCAGATCAAGGCTGTTGATAACCTTGAGACAGCTCTGCCCAGTTTTCCCATTGCTATGCATCTAAAGAGAGAAGGAAAGGTCCATCTCATATCTGAAGAACAAAAAATCAACATGACAGGGTCTATTATTGGCTCCCGAACAATGAGTGCTCCAGTTGTAGCAGAAAGCAAGCAAGATACGGTTCCTGGTGATGCCAAGACAGAAACTTTGGCCGGTAAGAATCCAATCTCCAAGTTGAGTAGAAGTTTTGGCGCTGCCATAGGAATCCAGAGTGATAAAATCCAGAAGGGCCTGGTGCTTGATGTGCCGGCTGCTCGTACTTCTTCAAGTCCTACACCACGTCTTGGTGAAAAGAAGAAAGGGCCCAAGGCTTTTGCTGCCGAGGCCAAAATGCACCTGAAGCAGTCCAAGCGTGTCAGGGATGTTGTGTGGGATGAACAGGGCATGACCTGGGAGGTTTATGGAGCATCCCTCGATCCAGAATCGTTGGGAATCGCTATCCAGAACCACTTGCAGAGGCAGATCAGAGAGCATGAAAAACTGATCAAGGCTCAAAGCCCCCAGGCCCGTAAATCCATATCTTCAGATACATCTTCAAACAAAAAATTGAAAGGGAGGCATCACAGCGTTTTTCAGTCCATGCTGCAGAATTTCCGGCGCCCAAATTGTTGCGTTCGTCCTGGGGCTTCTTCTGTGTTGGACTGAAAAAAAAAAAATCAGAAACGAGGATGGGAACGTAACACATCCGTTTGTGCGCACTTGTGTACTTGCACAAGGAACTCTATGGATAGTTGAGATTCTAATACGCTGATACAGGGTTGAGGGGAGAGGAGATGATGACGGTATATTTCGTTCCCACTGGTTAACATGCCTTCATCTCTCGAATTTCTGCAAATAACACATGAAACATTCAGGTTCATGCCGGGAACTTCCCAGTCATTTGCCAAAATAAAATAGAAGTACATGGTGAAGCACAATTCAGAATGTCAGGTTACGTAAGTAACCCACATTAGCTTTAGATAAAAAGAGAGGGGTGACTAAATCTTAAATAGATTGTTTTATTTTTTTCATGAGATAATGTAGAAAAACATTCCCAAACTGGGGAGTGGAAAGAAGGAAAGTTGGGTTGGGTTAGAAAGGTTGGGTTGGGTTAGAAAAGTTAGAAGGAATGGTGCTTTCTTAACTCTATAAACCACAGGGGTGTCTTAACTTGGGAACTTTAAGACTTGTGGACTTCAACTCCCAGAATTCCCCTGGGGAATTCCCCTGGGGAATTCTGGGAGTTGAAGTCCACAAGTCTTGAAGTTCCCAAGTTTAGACACCCCTGGTAAAAACCCTTCAAAGTTGAGACTCGTCTACACATTAGATGCAGGATCTAGTGCCCAAACCCTTCCAGCTGAGTTTTGCCCATTGGCAGCCACTGCCAGCCTTGCCTCACTGAAGGTGCTTAATCTCAAATGAAAAGTGCATAAGTTTCCAACTGTCCTGATACTTCAAAGCCAGATTTTGTCTTAAGCATTTGGGATTTCCGTGTATTCATTTACATGCTGCTTTTTGTTTTGTGCCTTGTTTTCTCTAATGATTCTCAGAGAACGGATGAATACACACACACACACACACACACACACACACACACAAAAAAAAAAAAGCACTTCACATAATACTAGAGAAAATAGGATGGATGGAAATCTAGAGTGGATTGGAGAAATTAAGAATTGGTAGAATCTTTTGCAGTCTTTNGCATGACTAAACGCCGAAGGTGCACGGAACGCTGTTACCTTCCCACCAAAGGTGGTTCCTATTTTTTCTACTTGCATTTTTACATGCTTTCCAACTGCTAGTTTGGCAGAAGCTGGGACAAGTAACAGGAGTTCACTCCATTACGCGCCGCTAGGAATTCGAACCGCCAAACTGCCAACCTTTCTGATCGACGAGCTCAGCATCTTAGCCACTGAGCCACCGCGACTGTTTTTTTTATAAGTAACCTGTTACAATTGTTCAGAAAAAAATTTTTTTTTGTATTTTTCCTCTCTTTTTTTGATAATTGAACATTGCAGTTTTGTATCCAACAAGGGCTGCCTTTTCATCAGTCTTCTAAGTTTGTATAATAAAACATTGTGCAAATTAACCGATGGGCAACCACAACTGAGTTTTATGCAAACAAGAAATTTCATGGTTTGACCAACAAATAGAGGCTATCCTGAGATGGCTCGAACTATAGTAGATATGAGAACAGCCTTTGCCTCTAATTCTCTTAGTTGTTTTGTACAGGTGTTATTTGATTTTTAATTTCTGTGTTTACTTGCAAGCCGTATCCCTTTTCCTTTCACCACAAAAAGAAAAACAAATCTATTGGTGGTATTGGATAACAGGGTTGGATCTTGGCAAGAAATATGATGCGTCTCACAGAAGAAAGACTTGTACTTCGAACACAGCCTGAAGATGAACAAATACAATGAACAATCATTTTGTGAAACCTGGAGCCCTGGCTGTGTACGTATTGTCTATTGAGGCTTGATAAAATAAGAGTTAATGGGTTTTGGTAATGCTGTTTAACTTGATTATTACTTTCTGGTGAGGTGCCAGAACTGGATCAAAACAAGATTTTAAAATTCCAGCTGAGTTACATTTGCTATTTCAGAGTGAAAACGCTTAGGATCTTGTCAAGTTGAGGCCTATTTTATGAGCAGCGATAAGAAACCTTATTTATAGAACTTGTCTGGCTACCATTTTAGGTATGCCTTTTTTAATAGTATGTCCTTTTTTATAGTTTCAACTTTTTTACTTTGTTCTAAAATCTCAATAGCCTTAAGAAGAAAATAATGAAAGCGGAATGTCTTACAATATATGTATATCTATATCTATATCTATATCTATATTGGGTCAATGTGGAACAGACCTTATCTGTATCAACTATGGAATACAAAATTATCTTGCTTGGGAATTTTTAGAGAACTTTATGAACAAATGCAATATTTAGATAGATAGATAGATAGATAGATAGATAGATAGATAGATAGATAGATAGATAGATAGATAGATAGATAG